TTCCTAAAGGTTGTAATAAGTGACTCCAAGGTCTGAAAGTGGTTAGCTAATCTTTTCTCGACACTTTTTATTGACGTTGCACTGAGTGCCACCTCAGGTTTCCTGCAGAAGGGCAATGTGGACTCATCACATTTGGTCACAAGATCATGCTCTAATAGGTGATACTAGGAAAGACAGAATCAAGTGTTGAAATTACCTCGGCCCAAGACAGAATTAGACGAATAAGATCGTCATCGCGAGTGCCCAAACCGGCCATCGAGTCCTGGAGCCAGTTCACAAACAGGGAAATTTGATCTTCCGCGTACGAAACTTTATGTGGTAAAAAAGTTTAATAATTGGCTTCTAAATGAGTTAACGTGTACTTATAGAATGAAGTACACAGTCAAGATTTGATAATGCATACCGATAGTTACCAGCGTCTCACAGTAGTTGCCAGAGGTTTCGCTTCTGATAGCTTCATAGATTGTTTTCTTGTACCTCTGCAAGTGAACGTTAAGTATGAAAACGGATTTTTGCTCACGTTTGCATAGGTTTTCGCAATTTCTTTGATGTGTGGAAAACTTCTCTGCGAGAAGATTTGAGTAAATCGGGATTCTTCGGTTCCTACCCTCCTTAAGGAATACAAATGAGATTAACCAAAGTGAAGCACAAATATGCTGACACGCAAATATTTGCGATGATGGGAAGACAAATCCTGCAGCAGTAACAAAGCGCTAAACCTTACCCTTCCCCACTTTCATACAGCGCATCAACGTCGACTTCGACTTGTGTTTGATTGACCTGCGGGTTTTCATCACGTTGAGCTTGTAGCATCGCCACCAAAATGCGTCGGAAGTCTCCACTAGTCTCGCTGACTATATCCTTTTCCAGATCACGTTCTACAACTAAATTGAAACACAAAGTGTAAATTTAGCGTAAGGCGTGGTGGTAGTTATCGGAACATCGCTTATATGACTTAAACTGGTTAATTCGTGGAAATGCTGGAAATAGGTTCCAAAACTGGGAATTTTTGGCTATCGGCAGCCTTGGCTCCATCTTCCCCATGTCAAGATTATGCCTTATGCCTTTGTAGCCTTTTCATGAAGCAACTAACAATAAATTAGTCAAGGGAGGGGTCAGCAACAAAGAG